TAAATTAGGGACGGCTAGCGCAGATAGTCCTCGTGTAGCTTTGCGCGAAATTCCAAAAAAACAAACAAAAAAACAAACAAGGTGAATCTAAGTTAAGGAACAGCGGCTTAGAGAGATAGTAGATTCAATAAGTTGTTAGACTGTTTTATGTATTGAACAGTTTCTGACGTTTCTCTTTGTTTAAATAAGAATAATAGCGTGGATGAATTGCTAGTATCTCTATAGATAACAAACATTATATCGTATGTACATATATACGTGTGTGATATCCGTTATAACTGTCGCTAATGTATATACTTATAGCTCAAAACTGCACAATGATCCATCTGTGCTCTGTAAACAACAGGGAATCGAACCTCTGATTTTAACGTCAATACATTTACTGCTAGCCAATTGGAGGATAAATAACGAAAAACGTTTTGTTAACCGTAATTATAGAAACTGATTTAATTTTATATTATATTTTTAGTTACATTACAATTATAGCTCAACATATTTGTTTAGTAAAAGAGTGTTTATTTCAATCTGAAGGCGTATAACGCTAAAGATCAGGTTTCGATACCCGCAATAAGCAGAACACAGATAGCCCATTGCGTAAATTTTTACTGAACTATAAACAATCAAACAAATTTTACAAAGAAATCAGAATTCTGCAAACCTTGTGCTTCTTCTCAGGGTTAGTTTTTATTTCTAGCTCAATAAATCAATAATCGGGATCGTTGATTATTTCTTTGGCTAAATATATGGACAAAGATTAGAACCTGAGGAGGATCCTGATGTTGCAGCCGGATCCATCACTTTCATATTCTTCTTTAGAAACGATTTGTTATACATGAAATCCTTTTTTTATTGTTGTTGTTTATAACAGAACTGAAATTGATCTAAAGCGTTTGAAAATGGTGTTTTGGGCAACTTCGTCATAGATGTTATAAGAAGTTGATTAATTATGTTGAAGATATTTAAATTACAATTAGTTAAAATCTATTTCCATCAATTACAACAGTTAGTAGCTGCTTCTTACAGGTTTAAGGCATACATACGTTTAAAAGGGTCCAGTTGTTAAAGACTTCGAAGAAACTAAATATACCGTGTTCGTTGTTTTTCTGAATAAGAAATAAGGACTTTAATTTATCTGGTTTCTTTCCTGAAAAGTTAAGGCAACACTTATACATAAATACAAATGTATATACCGTTTTTGTTCTTACAATGTATAGTTTGTAAAAATAAAAAAAAGAGCCAAAAAATGTTAAATATTATTTAATTACTGTAGTGCATATTGGTGTATAGAAATACACGACCTTATAACACCATAATGTTGTTTTTATTTAACTAAACACTCAACGTTTCGCTTTACTGCTTCTTCAGGAGCGTTCACTAAAACACAAAGCTTTGTTGTATCAGTACGTGTTCTTCAGCTTATCAAAACTCAGACTCTGTTGCTCTCATCAGTACGTGGTCTTCAGCTTATCAAAACTTAGACTCTGTTGCTCTCATCAGTACGTGTTCTTCAGCTTATCAAAACTTAGACTCTGTTGCTCTCATCAGTACGTGTTCTTCAGCTTATCAAAACTTAGACTCTGTTGCTCTCATCAGTACGTGTTCTTCAGCTTATCAAAACTTAGACTCTGTTGCTCTCAAAAATGTGATTTTTGTTTCAAGTAAACAAAGCTGATATACCTGCCTACATATCTACACTCTCATAAAAGTACAAATCTCTCGGAAACACATAGTTCTAAAACAAATAAACTTATTCAACAGTCTTTGGGAAATTAACTATGTTTTTTTTCTGTGTTTATCGCAAACAAACAATACGTCTAATACTGTTTTTTTTTTAATGAGATATTTTTAATAATGCCAGTATTACTAGGTTAGTTGGTAGTAGTCACAGTGAATGATATGGACATACGTTGTATATATACAGTTATGATAATATATAGAATGAACTTTAAAACTTAAAATATATTCTGGCACAAAACTCCCAAAATTATTTAGTGGAACAGAAATGTATTAATTTAAATATTAAAACGTAAGATACGAACTGACAAGAAACTAAAGTTATATATATATGTATGTACACGTATTTGTAACTGTATAAATATTTCTGTGATATACACTATGTGGTAACACCTTTTCCTCATTCCAGCAAAGCCAAGTCCTCCTGTAATAAGTAAGGATGGTGAAGTATTGGAAAATGCTTCAATTGTCGGACCATTTATGGAAGGAGAAACTATTTCACTCAGATGTATTAGTGCCGGAGGAAAACCCGCTCCGGAAGTGACTTGGTGGAACGGAAGTAACAGCCTTCCGTCCAAGTCTGGTACCACAGACGAAGAACTAGGAACCAGTAACGTGACATCTTCTACTCAATTTGTGATTTCCAGGAGTGACTTGGGAGCAAAATTAGGATGCAAAGTGAAGAACGACGCAATTGAACAACATCTGACCTCATGGATTGAACTGGACGTTCATGGTAAAATAACACATGATTTATGAAATATTCGTTGGTTAACATTTTAAACCTAAATAAAAGAAAATTTTATTGAAAAGTAATTGAAGTAATAAACCTTATCTCATGAACCTAAATATATTTACGTAATGCTCATAAGTAAGTAATGAACCTTATCTCATGAACCTAAATACATTTGGCTAGCAAACGGACATTCTAAGAAATATGTATATTTATGTAATGCTCATAAGTAAGTAATGAACCTTATCTCATGAACCTAAATATATTTACGTAATGCTCATAAGTAAGTAATGAACCTTATCTCATGAACCTAAATATATTTAGGTAATGCTCATAAATAAGTAATGAATCTTATCTCATGAACCTAAATATATTTACGTAATGCTCATAAGTAAGTAATGAACCTTATCTCATGAACTTAAATATATTTGTTTGATGCAGGTGAATCGCTTATTAGTTTTAGAGTAGGTCTAATCCACCAGGTGTTTGATTAGGAAAAGGTGCAACGTTTTATATTAGAGTAATAGGTGTTTGATTAGGAAAAGGTACAACGTTTTATATTAGAGTAATAGGTGTTTGATTAGGAAAAGGTACAACGTTTTATATTAG